GGCCCTCTCCACCGCCACCACCGTCCCCTCTGCAGTCCCAGCGCAGGAAGGACAGCTGGGACCTGGGACTCCATGCTCCCCGGTCTGGGGCAGCCACTCAGGGCCTGGCCTCGGTCTCCTCGCTTGGAAACGGGAGCCCAGCAGCTGTGAGGCATTAGTTTGCTGTGGGGATCAAGTCCCTTGACGCAGGCGGAGCCCCAAGAACACCACGTGGCGCGGAGCCAGCACCCAGCATTGGCTCTCAGCGGCACCCCTCTCTAAGCCCTCTCAGGCCGCATCCCTCTGTGGAAGTGGGTGCCCCCGAGCTGGGTGGCCACCCTGCAGACGCTCCCTCCTGCTGCCCTGGTGTGACCGTGCCCCCATCCCGTGTCACTCACTTCCACAGGCACCTCTGACCAGGCGCAGCACGGGACAACATGCAATCGAAAGTCAAAAATAAAATCAACAATGAAATACCGCCCTGGCCGGTTTGGCTCAGCGGTTGGAGCATCAGCCCGCGGAGCAGAGAGACCTGGGTCAGTTCCCCCTGAGGCATGTACCTCGGTTGCAGTTTGTCCCTGGCCCAGTTGGGGTCATGTGGGTGGTAGCCAGTCGATGTGTCTCTCTCACATCCATGTTTCTCTTTCTCCCTCCCACTCTGTCTGAAGATAAATGGAAAAATATCCTTGAGTGAGGATTAAAAAAAAAAAAAAAAAGAATATCTTTCCAGTTTGATTCTTTTTGAGGCTGAAAAAGAATTAAGTCACACCTCAGGTTAACCTCCCAGCCGTTGGCCCTTGGCTCCACACACGCCCAGGCGGTGCCAGGCCCGCCCCCAGGACTCCCTGGGGACCAGAGCCTGCTCTCCCTGCTCCCTGGTCCCCTCGAGCCACTGCTCAAGAACTTGAAAGTCCACTTCCTTAGCTTCCGGAGAAACTCCGTCCTGTCCCGTCAGGACCACCCAGACTCACCTCCCCCTCCAGAACACAGCTGCCTCCCGACACTCCCTCCAGGAGGCGCTTTCCCGAATCTGCCCCCAGACCGCTTCTCTATCTCACACTTCGCTTGAAGGTCTGGACCCCTGGGTGCCCCTCCCAGCGATCTTCCTGCACCTACTGTGAGCCTGCCTGTGCAGGCCAGGGGTCAAGGGTCGAGGGTCAAAGAAGACACCCCTCCCCACTTCACACTCTCCTGGCAGAATCGAGATAAATGAGATGCAGAGTGAGGTTGGGGCTGGCACTGCAAGGGGAGGTGCCGGGGTGAGGGGCGCCCACACCTGCTCCGCTGGCCTGGCGCAGGGGGTGGGCAGGAGGCGCAGGGGGTGGGCAGGAGGCGCTGGGCTGTGCGTGTCTGTGGAGGAAGGGAGATAGGGTTGGAGGCCCTACACCCACGCAGCACAGCAACACAGGGTGGGGTGGCAGGGCGTGGAGACCCTGCACCCAGAGGATGGAGGGGCTTTGGTGACCCCGAGGCCCAGGTCCGGGGTGCGATGGGGTGATCCAACCCGGGCCCTGGGCTCAGGTCGGAGTCCTAGCCTGCGGGATCACAGCACACACGGCAGGTGGGCACAGGGGCAGCGTCTGTGCGCCTGAGGGGTGGCGAAGGCAGCGGGGGGCCAGGAAGGAGGGGTGGGTGGCTCTGGTCCCGCCTCAAATCCAAGGCCCTGGCGCATGGAAGCCTTCCTGCCACTGAGAGCAGAACTGTCCCCTTTGGGATCACGATTCCCTGTGCATGGCTGCTGGGCTCCCAGCGCACTGAGGGCTCACCCACACTCCCTTCACCCCGAATGTTCACCTGCCCACAGCCACAGCTCTGCCCTAGCCAGGCCTCTCCCTGAGCGTCATCCTTAGGCCCCCGCAAGGCTCTAACACTACTGCGCAGCTCGAAGGCTCGGGACAAAGGGCAGGGGGACATCCCACAGGCGGCTCCGGCTCCGGCTCCGGCCTTGCCCTCCACCACCTCTCTCACGGGCGAGCCGCAGCCTGTGCTGAACGTGTCTTCTTTACTTTGCTATCGCAAAGGACGGCTCAGGAGCAGCTGCCTGGGCCTGGCGTCTCAGCGCCCCGCCCCATCCTCTGGCCAGGGAGCCCAGCACGCTCAGTCGAGGGGCAGAGTCCGGGGTCTGCGGCAGGCAGGCTCGGGAGCTGGGAGGGGCGGCCGTGTGCCAGGGCCATGGAAGAGCACACCATCTGCTGTCGCCTCGCCGTGAGGGTGGGAGCACTGCAGCCCCTGGGGACCAGAGGAGGAGAGCTCCCAGAGCAGCAGCCTCCGGGCTGGGTTCAGCTGCCGGACGCCCGTATTTTGGTCAGTGTGGCACGCTGTGTCGAGAGCGCTATCAGGGTGCCCTGACTCTGTGGAGCTGTGTGAGGTGAGGTCAGAAAGCTGTTGTGAGTTGCTCTTGTCGGGCTGTCCCGTGACCTGTGGCTGAAGCACCCAGCCTGACACGCACCACCCCTCTCCCCAGGCCAACTCCAATGCAGCCTGTCAGCAGCAGGAGCGACCAGTGGCCAGTTTGCTGTCCTCGGCTCAACCATTGGCCACCCCATCCAGTCCCTGCCGGCTCCTCAAGCGACCATTTGACAGCCCTTCCTGCCAGCCTCCCACACCTCAGGGCACAAGGCCCCAGCACCTCCCTGCTCCTCGACTCTGGCTCCCGCACTCCTGCCCCCGTGTCTGCGCAGCTGTCTTCTCGGGGCACACCAAGGGCACCCCACTGTGCTCGGCTCCACTGTGCTGACGAGCAGCCAGTGCGCTGGCCGTGGCCTGTCCACTCCGACGGCTTCCGAACAGTCTCAGCACCACTGGCGCTTCTGGGACTTGTTCCGTTCAGTCTGGGACTCCGGAGGCTTCCTGGGACTGAGAATTACCGCGGCCACACTTCACCCCTCGTCAGCCCGATCCCTTCGAATGCCCCTGACCCAGCAGGTGTCAGAGCTCCTCCCTCACCCTCTGTGGCTCTTCACCTGTCCCCCTCCCCCCACCTCAAAACCAAGATGCACACCTCCTTCCGAGGACAGCAATCGCAGTGACACTGTCGGTGGTGGCAGTCAGTGTGGCCGCGCTGGCGGCACTGCTGGACTGAGCAGGCCTGGTGCCTCTCGGAGGAGCCTGAGCTGGCCGCACGGCCACACCGGGCAGGGCCACCAGGTAGGGCCACACCGGGTGGACACACACCGGGCGGGCACACACCGGGCAGGGCCACCAGGTAGGGCCACACCGGGTGGACACACACCGGGCGGGCACACACCGGGCAGGGCCACCAGGTAGGGCCACACCGGGTGGACACACACCGGGCGGGCACACACCGGGCGGGCACACACCGGGCAGGCACACACCGGGCAGGCTCACACCGGGCAGGCTCACACCGGGCAGGCACACACCGGGCAGGCTCACACCGGGCAGGCTCACACCGGGCAGGCTCACACTGGGCAGGGCCACCGGGCAGGCTCACACTGGGCAGGCACACACCGGGCAGGCTCACACCGGGCGGGCACACACCGGGCAGGCTCACACCGGGCGGGCACACACCGGGCAGGCTCACACCGGGCAGGGCCACCGGGCAGGCTCACACCGGGCGGGCACACACCGGGCAGGCTCACACCGGGCAGGCTCACACCGGGCAGGCACACACCGGGCGGGCACACACTGGGCAGGCTCACACCGGGCGGGCACACACCGGGCAGGCTCACACCGGGCAGGGCCACCGGGCAGGCTCACACCGGGCGGGCACACACCGGGCAGGCTCACACCGGGCGGGCACACACCGGGCAGGCTCACACCGGGCAGGGCCACCGGGCAGGCTCACACCGGGCGGGCACACACCGGGCAGGCTCACACCGGGCAGGCTCACACCGGGCGGGCACACACCGGGCAGGCTCACACCGGGCGGGCACACACCGGGCGGGCACACACCGGGCAGGCACACACCGGGCAGGCTCACACCGGGCGGGCACACACCGGGCAGGCTCACACCGGGCGGGCACACACCGGGCGGGCACACACCGGGCAGGCTCACACCGGGCGGGCACACACCGGGCGGGCACACACCGGGCGGGCACACACCGGGCGGGCACACACCGGGCAGGCTCACACCGGGCAGGGCCACCGGGCAGGCTCACACCGGGCAGGGCCACCGGGCAGGCTCACACCGGGCGGGCACATACCGGGCAGGCTCACACCGGGCAGGCTCACACCGGGCAGGGCCACCGGGCAGGCTCACACTGGGCAGGGCCACCGGGCAGGCTCACACCGGGCGGGCACATACCGGGCAGGCACACACCGGGCAGGCTCACACCGGGCGGGCACACACCGGGCAGGCTCACACCGGGCAGGCACACACCGGGCAGGCACACACCGGGCGGGCACATACTGGGCAGGGCCACACCGGGCAGGACATGCCCTGTGACGGGGCGGCCCTCCAGGCTTATGTCTGCACCGCCACACGTGCATGGCGGGAAGCCTGTCCCATGACGGGAGATGAACGACGGCGGGCGGCTACATGGTCACGAGGACACCGTGACAAGCCCTGCAGCTGTGAGATGAGGGGTGTGCCTGTGCCTGTCCCCTGTCCTTGACAGTGTCCCCTCCGGTCCTCCCTGCTATGTCTTGGCTTTACAGTCCAAGGGCCCAGCACACAGGTTTTCCTGCCAGCCTCCAGCCACCTCCAGCGGGGTGAGGGCGGGAGGGGCTGGGCTGCTGGGGCCTTGTGCGGCTCAGCAGAACAGTGAGCGCTGTCTCTCCCCAAGGACAGCCTGTCCCCAGCACACCAGCTCCTCACGGACACGGTGTCCTGTCACCGTGGGCCCCACCTGAGCAGATCGTTGCCATGTGTCAGCCCGACACTGTGCTGGAGACACGCGGTCCTCGGTATGCGCAGCAGAGCGGGGCGTGCTCAGCCCCCGTGTTGGGGGGAGGGTGCCGCGGGGCTCACAGGAGCTGCACTGGCACGTCGCCTGGGCGTGGCCACACCATCCTCATTGCCAGGGACCCAGCACTGGCCCCGCACTCACGCTCTCACCTACCTGAAGTTGAGTCGTCCTGGGAGGTGAGGCCAGAAGGGCTGGATCCCAGGTCCAGTAACTTCCATGTGTCCTGGAGGGAACCGCTGGTGAGTGACGAGGACCTTTGGGCGTGGTGTCCACGTTCCTGGCGCAACTCGTGGGCTTGCGGTGGCTGTGGGGACCGGTTTTCCTTCTGACGAGCTGCCCTGCACATGGCCACGGACAGTCTGCGTTGCTATAAAAGAAAAGACAGGCTACCCTTGAGAGCTGCCCTCTCTCCAGCCCTGTGCCCCTTCGGGTGGGTGACAAGGCAGTGGGCACGACCCAAAGACAGGCCTGGTGGTGACCCTTCAGGACCAGGAGAGAGGTCGGGGAAGCAGCCTGCACCCTGAGGCCACCGGGTCCCTGAGTACTCAGTGTGGGGATGGTCGAGCTGACACCGTCAGGGTGGGACAAGGACTGGAGGGAAGGGCACAGCCCCAGGCCCCATCTCTAGAGCAGGGCCACCTGGGGCCCGCGTGCCAGTCAGGGGTTCTGGTGTCCGGCCCCCGCGTCCTGCAGCCATCACCCCAAGTGAAGTGCCTAGGGCTGCAGCCTCTCCTCTGATACCGACCTCTGCGTGCCCAGGCGCTCCCCGGCCTGCATACCTGCCCTGGCCTCCCAGTTCCTGCCGCACTGCCATGCTGGGCATCATTTCTGCGGACCGCTGGTGCCTCGCGGGGCTGGACCTGTCCCGAGCACTTGGAGGGACGTTCCTCTTTGGCACTCTTAGAGTCCTGCCATGAAAATTCACATAAGAGGGATTCACTGTCTGGGGGTCATCGATGGGCATGTTACTGAGCTTCCCCTCAGGACCAGGAAGCACTCCCGAAGTGGCTGGTATCAGGACTCACTCTGCTTGGTGACAAGTCAAAGGGAGGGACACGCTGTGCACTGGCCAGGAGAGCCAGCCCCTCCCATGCTCGGCAGCCCTGCTCCCACCTGCACCCGCAGCGCCTTCACCCAGCCCAGCTGCTCACTGCTCAGCCCAAACCTTGCACCGCCCCCGTAAGAGCGACTTGGAGGTCACATCCCCTTACGGCGCAGGAGGCTGTATGCCCCCTGGCTCTCAATAACCAGGATGGCGGGCAGGGGGCGGCCACCGTCCTCCACGCTACAGGGAGTTCTGGCTGGACGGCCAGGTGCGAAGACGGGACAGTGTAAGGGCGGAGGCAGGAGCCAAGCCTCACTAGCATGCTCGATCCGCACACAGAACCCAAGACACTCCTGTGGTTCGGTAGTCAGGAGACGTGAAGTCGTTTATAAAAGTGAGCTGTGCTTCTAACAACCACCATGGTTAAAAAGAGACATTTACACACACACACACCAGTACAACCACCAACAGAAAGCTACCCAGCACTAGGAGGAAATGAGCTGTCAGCCACGACAAGACAGGGGGACCCAAGAGGCATGTGATGGGTGGGAGAAGCCCGTCTGAGAAGGCTCCCCCTGTGCGGCTCCAACTCTGTGACCTTCTGGAAAGATTGGGGCAGAGGAGTGGACAGCCAGGACTCAGAGGGTGGCTAGGGCAGTGCAGCTACGCTGTGCGACACCTTATGGTGGATACAGGTCATTATACGTCTGTCCACACCCACAGACGCACCACACCCAGAGTGAACCATAGGCACCCTGTGGACTCTGGGTGAGGGTGCCGTGTGCCGTGTCCATGTCACAGATGTCACCCCTGGTGTGAGTGTTGATGGTGGGGGCCGGGGCATGGAAACCTCTGCTCAGCTTTTCTGTGAACCTAAAGTTCTTCTGAAAAATAAAAATAAATCAATCAATCTATCCATCTATCTATCTATCTATTTATTTTTACCCTAACCTGAGGACATCTTTGCATTTATTCTCAGATAGAGGGGGAGGGAGGGAGGGAGGAAGAGAGAGAAAGAAACATTGATGTGAGAGAGACACATTGAGTGGCTGCCACTCATACGACCCCAATCGGGGTTGGGGACAAGCTGCAACTGAGGTCCGTGCCCTAAGCGGGAACTGAACCCGGTCCGCGGGCCGACGCTCCAACCGCTGAGCCAAACCGGCCAGGGCAATAAAATCAATTTCTAAGGAGAAAGTGAAATTGTCATTATTTGCAGATGACATGATACTATATGTAGAAAACCCCAAAGACTCCATCAAAAATTTACTAGACTTAATAAATGAATTTGGCAAAGTAGCAGGATACAAAATTAACGTCAAGAAATCGATGGCATTCATATACACCAATGATGAACTCACAGAAAGAGAAACTAAGAAAACAATCCCATTTACCATTGCGGCAAAAAAATTAAGATACCTAGAAATAAACTTAACCAAAGAAATAAAGGACCTATTCACATAAAACTACAGGTCATTGAAAAAAGAAATAGAGGAAGATATAAAAAAGTGGAAGCACATACCCTGTTCATAGATTGGAAGAATCAACATCATTAAAATGTCCATATTACCCAAAGCAATCTATAGATTCAACGCAATCCCCATCAAAATACCAATGGCATACTTCACAGAATTAGAACAAGTACTTCAAAAGTTCATATGGAACCAAAAAAGACCTCGAATAGCCACAGCAATCTTGAAAAAGAAGAACAAAGTTGGAGGGATCACATTACCAAATTTCAGGTTATACTACAAAGCCATCGTAATCAAAACAGCCTGGTACTGGCACAAGAACAGGCATATAGGCCAGTGGAACAGAACAGAGAACCCAGAAATGGACCCAAGGCAATATGCTCAATTAATATTTGACAGAGGTGGCAAGAGCATACAGTGGAGTAAGGACAGCCTCTTTAATAAAAGGCGTTGGGCCCTGGCCGGTTTGGCTCAGCGGTTGGAGCGTGGGCCTGCGGTACAGAGAGACCTGGGTTCGGTTCCCGCTAAGGGCACATACCTCGGTTGCAGTTTGTCCCTGGCCCTGGTTGGTCGTGCGAGTGGCAGCCACTCGATGTGTCCCTTCACATCGATGTTTCTCTCTCTCTCTCTCCCTCTCTCTCCCTCCCGCTCTATCTGAACAAAAAATGGAAAAATGTCCTCAGGTGAGGATAAAAATAAATAAATAAATAAATAAATAAATAAATAAATAAATAGTGTTGGGAAAATTGGACAGCTACATGCAGAAAAATGAAATTAGACCATCAACTTACACCTTACATAAGAATAAACTCAAAATGGATATAAGACTTATATGTGACTCATGAATCCATAAAAATCCTAGAAGAAACTGTAGGCAACAAAATTTCAGACATCATACGCAGCAGAATTTTCAGTGATACATCACCTAAGGCAATAGAAACAAACGAGAAAATGAACACATGGGACTACATCAAACTCAAAAGCTTCTGCACAGCGAAAGATACAATCATCAAAACGGAAAGGCTACCCACTGTATGGGAGAGCATAATTACCAACGATACATCAGATAAGGGGTTAATTTCCAATATATATATATATAGAGTGCTCATACAACTCCACAAAAGGAAGACAAAGAACCCAATTAAAAAATGGGCAGAGGAACTAAATAGACACCTCTCCAAACAGGACATACAAATGGCTAAGAGACATATGAAGAAATGTGCAACATCACTAATCATCAGAGAGATGCAAATTAAAACAACAATGAGGTATCACCTCACACCTGTCAGAATGGCCGCCATCAACAAATCATCAAACAACAAGTGTTGGCGAGGGTGTGGAGAAAAGGGGACTCTAGTGCACTGCTGGTGGGAATGCAGACTGGTGCAGCCACTATGGAAAACACTATGGTGTTACCTCAAAAAATTAAAAATTGAACTTCCATTTGACCCAGTGATCCCACTTCTAGGAATATACCCTAAGAAGCCTGAAACACCAATCAGAAAGAATATATGTACCCCTATGTTTGTAGCAGCACTATTTACAATAGCTAAGATCTGGAAACAGCCCAAGTGTCCATCAGTAGACGAATGGATAAAAAGCTGTGGTACATATACACAATGGAGTACTATGCAGCTGTAAGAAAGAAAGATCTCTTATCCTTTGAGACGGCATGGAGGGACCTGGAAAGTGTCATCCTAAGTGAAACAAGCCAAACAGAGAAAGACAAGCATCATATGATCTCACTTATTTGTGGAGTATAATGAACATAACAGTCTGAGGAATGGGGTAGTCCCAGAGACGTGGAAGTGGGGTACAGACTGACAAACCCCAGAAGAGGGGGTGGTGGGGGGAGAGATAAACCACAGAACTTATATGTATGAACAGTGGACATGGACAACAAAGTTGGGGACAGGGCAGGGAGGGAGGGGGAGGGAGGAATCAGTGGGGGAAAAGGAGAAACATCTGTAACAAAAATTAATTAATAAAAAAATAAAAAAAGAATTTCTAAATAGCAACAGAGACGACTGCACCCTGCTGACCTCGCCATGGCACATGTGCACATGGCACAGGCCCACGCACCGCCTGTGCAGGTGTGACTGGCATGGTCTCTTTAGACGCACCTGACAAACCTCAGAGAGAAATGCCCCAGAACCCAGCAATGCAGGTCCCAGGCGCACACCCGAGACACGCTTCCCATGGGAGGCCACGTGTACCAGTGTAGCCCACGCTGGGGCCCACCGAGCCTGCCACACACAGGAGGGAAGCACGCCCCGGTGAGGAGACCAGGGCTGGAGAACGGTGCCTCCAGCCAGCCTGGCCCACCACGGCCCGAGGTGCAGAAAACAATGTCGATACATAGGTCTTATATTGCTAACGGTTGCAAACATCAAAATTTGCAAAAATCATGAAAATTATAAGAAAGTTTCCTGATTCATCACCTTTCACTGGTGTCCATCTGTCTGTCTGTCCATTTGTTGCCTGTGGCTGCATCCCAGGTAAATGCAGACCCAACTACTCACAGCCGAAACCCTGCAGCCCTTCAAGGGGGAGAAGTCACTTCGGGGCCTTCAAAGAAAAGGGGTGCCTATCCCCCAACGCCAGCGACCCCTGCGAATGTGAAAGACAGCAGGAGCAGGAGCATCTGTGCAAGGCTGGGTCTGTCTGCTCAGAGAGAAACACCTGACTCAGGAAGGTTGAGGGGCAGGAGTACTGGGCAGGACACTGAAGGCGTTTCGACTTGACATTTGTTTATTAAATTGGATGGTGTTCACACAGTGCTCTTTATATTGTCTTTGTATCTTCTTAGAAGTCGAAACATATCTGCGACTAAAATAAATGCATATATACCAGCATCCACACAATGGCAGAGAACAGCGGGGAGAATCTGGTCAAGGACGAGAAGCAGGGCGAGCTCGGTCCCATGTCAGTGACGAGGCCCTGGAGCTTCACGCAGGGCGGGCGGCACTCGGGACCAGCACAGGGAACAGACGCATGCCTGGCATGGCAGCGCCAGTCCCTGGACCATGAGCGGCCTGACCTCTCGGGTGAGGGCCCACTCCAGGCGACAGAGACACGAAAGCACACGCACACACTCATGTGCACAGTGCACACACACACTCATGTGCACAGAGCACACACACTCATGTGCGCAGAGCACACACACACTCATGTGCACAGTGCACACACACATAAGCGCATGCGCGCACGTGCTCGTGCGCTGGATATGGTGGGTCCTGGACTGGCTGCTTGGTTGAGAATGGCTTGAAGAGGTGACTGGCAAAATCTGAAGGCAGAATGTGCATTCAACTCTAGTATTAATGATTAATGTTATGTTTCCTGACTTTGGTAACTGCCTGTAACTGTATGTCAGCGTGGCCCCTGCTTTCACATAGAAAGCGGCTCGATGTCTGTGCCAACTCCCCCTGGCCCAGGAATAAAGCTGCCTGTCTGTCCGTCATTCCTACCTGAAATGTAGGGGAGGAGGGGGGCAAAGCAAACACAGCAGTAAGTTGTCAGCAACTGGGGAGCCTGGTGAGAGGTGTCCTGTTCTTGTGACTTCATGTGAAATGGATGTTATTTCAAACTTAAAAATTATAGCAGCAAACACAACCCCTGGCCAGGGTGCTCAGGTGTGTGTCGTCCCGACACACCAAGGTCGCAGGCTCGGTCCCTGTCGGGGCACAGACAAGAATCCACCAAGGGTGGCAGCAGTAAGGGGACAGTGGACACACACGGTGCACAGAGGGTGTGTTGTGCAACTGTGCACCTGAAACCTGTGTGCATTTGTTAATCAGCATCTGCTCAATATCTTCAATAATACATAAACAAGAAGAACAACAACTCGAGGTTTCTCTGTCTCCAAAATCAATTAAAAAATAAAACTAACCCCCCCAAACAAGAGCATGCCTTTTCCGCACATGACAAACTGTCCGTTCAAAGTCGGAGGGAAAGGTGCCGTGACGAGGGGCGAGCGGACACCTGGGAAGATGGTGAGCGTCACCCGAACTCGGAGCAGAGGAAACCGGCAGGGCACCAACTGAGCTCCTTAGACTTTTTTTTTTTTAATCCTCATCCGAGGACATTTTTCCATTTTTTTGTACAGACAGAGTGGGAGGGAGAGAGAGGAACAGAGAGAGAGAGGGAAACGTCGACGTGAAAGGGACACATCGAGTGGCTGTCACCCGCACGACCAACCAGGGCCGGGGACAAACTGCAACCAAGGCACATGCCCTTAGCGGGAACCGAACCCGGGCCTCTCCGGACCGCAGGCGGACGCTCTAACCGCTGAGCCAAACCGGCCAGGGCTCCTTAGACTTTTTAAAAGTTGTCTGTGGACTAAAACAATTGAAAGGTTAAAAGGCACATGACAGCCCTGGCAGTTTTGCTCAGCGGTTAGAGCACTGACCCACGGACCAGAAAGTCCTGGGTTTGGTTCCCGCTGAGGGCATGTACCTCAGTTGCAGTTTGTCCCCAGCCCCGGATGGGCTCGTGCGGGTGGGAACCAGTCGATGTGTCCCTTTCACATTGATGTTTTTCTCTCTCTCCCTCCCTCCTGCTTTATCTGAAAATAAATGCAAAAATGTCCTCAGATGAGGAAAAAAATAAAAAAGGCACAGGACAAATTGGAGAAAGATGTGTAGCAGAGAAGCAGCAACTTCCTTACACAAAGAATTCTTACAAAGTAACAAATACAAACCGGCCGGCAGAGAACTGATCAAGGAACATACAAAACCCACTGAAAACGTTAACACCGGCTTTCCTCTTTCCCTCTTTTCTCTCCCTTAACATCCCAACGGTCTCCTTTCTGCGATGCGGTGCTACCCCAAACGTGACGCTGTGGACACCCACACAACAGACCTGACTGCAGAAGTGAAGGTGTCTCCTCGCACACCGCGCGTGTGGTGTGGGAGGGGAGGGTCTCTGCCCGCACTGTGCTCAGTCACGGCTGTCAGCCCCAGACAATGAGCACCGACGTGGCACATGGCCCAAGGTAGCGAGCTCCTTAGGGTCAGCAAAGCATGAACATGGAAAGTGACTTTGGTTCCAGTCTCTCTCTTTTTTTCTTATCACATACTCTTTCCAGGCAGAAAGAAGTTTTACCTGCCTGCTCATTTCCCAAGAAAACAAAACAAAACAAAAAAACATTAAGATCACTAAGGATGTAAGAAATTTTTAAAAGATGTAATTTTTTTAAAATGTGTTTTTAGTGATTTCAGAGAGAGACAAAGGGAGAGAGAAACATCAACATGGATCACTTGCCTCCTGCATGAACCCCAACCAAGGATCAAACCTGCAACCCGGGAATGTGCCCTGACCAGGGATCGACAGGACAACGCTCAGCCGACTGGGTCACACCAGCCAGGGCTCAAAAAGGTAATTTTTAAAAAAAATCCTCACTCAAGGATATTTTTCCATTTATCTTCAGAGAGAGTGGGAGGGGGAGAGAGAGAGAGAAGGAGGGACATCGATGTGAGAGAGACACATCGACTGGTTGCCTCCCGCATGACCCCGACCAGGGCGAGGGACCAAACCGCAACCGAGGTACGTGCCTTTGATCAGAATTGAACCCGCAACTCTTTGGTCCGCGGGCTGACGCTCTACTGCTGAGCCAGACTGGCAAGGGCAAAGATATAATTTTTACTTATTTTAATTTTTTTTTATCCTTACCTGAGGACATTTTTCCATTTTTTTGTTCAGATAGTGGGAGAGAGAGAGAGGAAGAGAGAGAGAGAGAAATATCGACGTGAAAGGGACACATCAAGTGGCTGCCACCCGCACGACCAACCAGGGCTGGGGACAAACTGCAACTGAGGTACGTGCCCTTAGCGGGAACCGAACCCAGGTCTCTCTGGACCACAGGCCGACTCTCTACCTGCTGAGCCAAACTGGCCAGGGCAAAGATGTAATTTTTAACCTATCCTACTGGTAAAGATAAAATAATACCCAAATGGGTAAAGCTATAGGACATAAGTATGATATAATTTGTAATTCTAAAGAACAGCAGGAAACAGAATGAAATATTACTGGTAACTGTCTCAGCGCTGAAAAGTGGAGGCTTTTAAGGCTGTGTTTATTGCATTTTGACGTTTCTGTAATGAAAATGTAACACTTAGGAAATTAGTAAAAAGTTGTTAGGAATCTATTTCTTAGGTGAAGGAGAATTACCTGAGTTGTGAAGTGGGGTTGCAGCTGTCCCAAAGGTGGGCCCTGCTTCAAAGGTGCCTTGGTCCCTGCACCTGGGTTCTGGGCCTCAGGGCTGGGAAGGGGATGAGAACGTTTCCCTAGAAACAAGATGAGGGAAAGGGTTTTTCACATCACTTCTGAATTTCTCTCGTGCTGATAGACACGTTCCTCCTCAAAACCGAAATCCCTCGGGGTGCACAGCCGTGAGCCATGTGCACGTGCCAGCCCCCGGCAGCTTGGCAGAGCCCACGGGTGCACAGCCGTGAGCCGTGTGCACGGGCCAGCACCCCGGCAGAGCCCATGGGTGCACAGTTGTAATACAGGGGTGTATGACTGACTCAGACAACCGAGAGTGCGTTGTATAATTTTCACTGTCTTGATCAACTTAATGAATACATTTGAAAACAAAGGCTATAGCGTGAAGCTGCGAATGTCGAAGTGTGAAGTGGCAAGGGACGACTGTACCCGAGTTTAATAAAAGTATGAAATCAAAAGATGTACAAACGGAGGGCCCCAGGTTCTGGAAGAGGCTGCATAGTTGCAGCGGCCGTGTCTGCACTGATGTTCAGTTTCTTCACTGCCGGAGCGGCGAAATACACCAGCATCATAGTCGAGGAGGTACAGAAACATTCTGTGCATACACTGTGTTCAGGTCATTGAAGGGACCCATGACGTGTTTGTAGCTGAAAATGGAAAACCTGCGCCTTTGGATGAAGAGTCACAAACAAAAAATGGCAGTCAATCTACGGAATGAGTATGGTCCTGTGTTGCATGTCTACTTCAAAAGGAAGTTTTAAAGAAAGGGGTCCTCAGCCCTGGCCAGTTTGGCTCAGTGGTTAGAGCGTCAGCCTACGGTCCAGAGAGACCCGGGTACAGTTCCCGCTAAGGGCATGTACCTCGGTTGCAGTTTGTCCCCGGCCCTGGTCATGCGGGTGGCAGCCACTCGATGTGTCCCTTTCACATTGACGTTTCTCTCTCTCTCTCTTCCTCTCTCTCCCTCTGGCTCTATCTGAACAAGAAATGGAAAAATGTCCTCAGGTGAGGATTAAAAAAAAAAAGGAGGGGTCCTCAGAATGCATCGGATCCATATGGTCATAAACAATAGCCTGCCAATCAAGGACAGGAAGTTGAGTGTTTGGCGATGGGCACACATCCCTGTCCACCAGGCCCCGGGGATACTTTGCCAGAGACACTAAGATGCGGAGAACACAAGCGAAGCAGCACGCAGCCCATGGCTGTGGCAGCACCTTCTCCCAGGGCAGGGCTGATGCACATCACAGTGCACCTGCTGGAGGCTCAGACCGCTCACAGCCTGAGGGATGCCTCCGGCTGCACCTTCTCCCAGGGCAGGGCTGATGCACATCACAGTGCACCTGCTGGAGGCTCAGACCTCTCACAGCCTGAGGGATGCCTCCGGCTGCACCTTCTCTCAGGCCAGGGCTGATGCACATCACAGTGCACCTGCTGGAGGCTCAGACCGCTCACAGCCTGAGGGATGCCTCCGGCTGCACCTTCTCTCAGGCCAGGGCTGATGCACATCACAGTGCACCTGCTGGAGGCTCAGACCGCTCACAGCTTGAGGGATGCCTCCGGCTGCTTTGGAGGGTGGCAATGCCAAGAACTCTGTGCTGATGCCTAAGAAGGCCCCTACAATGCCAAAACCCCAGTGGCACCCACCGTGGAAACTACAGGGTGATCAGTGGGCATCAGTGGGCTACCTGGAAACCAGTGGTTGTCACTGGATCTGCTGACAGAACTATCGAGATCTGGGACTTGGCTAGTGGCAAATTGAAACTGTCATTAACTGGGCACACTAGTACAATTTGTGGTGTGACAGTAAGCTCGAGGAGCCCATACCTATTCTCCTGTGGAGAAGACAAGTCAGATGCTGGGATCTTGAATATGATAAAGTTATAAGGCACTATCATGGACATCTAAGTGCTGTGCATACTTTGGACTTGACCCAACCATTGATGTGCTGGTAACCTGTAGTCGAGATTCAAATGCACGGATTTGGGATGTGAGAACTAAAGCCAGTGTATGCACATTATCTGGACATACAAATGCAGTTGCTACAGCGAGGGGTCAGGCTGCAGAACCACAAGTTATTGCTGGAAGCCATGACACTACAATACGATCATGGGATTTGGTGGCTGGAAAAACAAGAGTCACATTAACGAATCATAGAAAGTCAGTCAGGGCTGTGGTGTTAAATCCCAGACAGTAGCCCTGGCCAGTTTGGCTCAGCGGTTAGAGCGTCGGCCTGCGGTCCGGAGAGACCCGGGTTCGGTTCCCGCTAAGGGCATGTGCTTCGGTTGCAGTTTGTCCCCGGCCCTGGTTGGTCGTGCGGGTGGCAGCCACTCGATGTGTCCCTTCACGTCGATGTTTCTCTCTCTCTCTCCCTTCCTCTCTCTCCCTCCCACTCTATCTGTACAAAAAATGGAAGGGTGTCCTCGGGTGAGGATAAAAATAAATAAATAAATAAAAAATAAATAAATCCCAGACAGTATACATTTGCATCTGGCTCCCCAGACAACAGGAAACTGGGAATTCCCGACGGAAGGGTCACTGACAGTGGATTCTCACGGCCTGCTTGTATCTGCGGCTGACGATGGAACTGCATCTTTGGGATTGGAGAACTGGCTACAATTTCCAGAGAGTTCATGCAGCTGTGCAGCCTGGGTCTTTGGACAGTGAATCAGGAATATTTGCTTGTGCTTTTTAAAAACAGTTTTTATCCTCTCCTGAGGACATCTTTCCATTTTTTGTTCAGATAGAGTGGGAGGGAGAGAGAGGAAGAGGAGAGAGAAACATCAAAGTGAGAGAGAAACATCGAGTGACTGCCACCCACATGACTCAACCAGGGCCGGGGACAAACTGCAACCGAGGTACATGCCCTTAGTGGCAACCGAACCCGGTCTCTCTGGATCCCAGGCTGATGCTCTAACCGCTGAGCAAACCAGCCAGGGCTGCTTGTGCTTTTGATCAGTCTGAACGTCGGTTACTGACAGCTGAAGCTGATAAAGCCACTAAGGTGTACAGAGAGGACGGTACAGCGACAGAAGAGACTCATCCAGTCAGCTGGAAGCCAGAAATTATGAAGAGAAAGAGATTTTATTTATTTATTTATTTTAAAGATTTTTATTTATTTATTTATTTTTAATCCTCATCCGAGGACATTTTTCCATTTTTTGTACAGACAGAGTGGGAGGGAGAGAGAGGAAGAGAGAGAAAGGGAAACATCGATGTGAAAGGGACACATCGAGTGGCTGCCACCCGCACGACCAACCAGGGCCGGGGACAAACTGCAACTGAGGTACATGCCCTTAGCGGGAACCGAACCCGGGCCTCTCCGGACCGCAGGCGGATGCTCTAACCGCTGAGCCAAACCGGCCAGGGCGAGAAAGAGATTTTAATATGGCATTGTCTTCATGGTGTTTCTTTGTTTTTAGCTTTGTGTTGATGGGATATCCAGTCATTTTGTGCTCTGGCTAGGATTATAAAGCGGAAACTCACATGCTTGAATTATTGCTGCTTCATATTTTACAATAAAATGTGTTGTCTCCCCTGCCCCCCAAAAAAGATGTACAAATGGCCAACAAAAGATGCTCAGCACCTCTCGTCACCAGGGAAATACAGACCAGAGCACGAGACACCACCTCACACCCACTGAGACAGAATAAAGCCCACAGACAGGAAATAAGGCGTGGTGAGGGCTGGGAGGTGAGCGCCTCCCACTGCGGGAGGGAACGAGATGGCACAGCCGCTACGGAACACTGTGGCGGTTCCTCAGCACGTTACATGTAGACTTGCCACGAGCCAGCAATTCCACTCCTGGGGACAAACCAGAAAAGGTGAAAACAGGCTCAAACAAAAACGTGCACAGTAGCCGTACAGTCGTCCCTCCACTTCGCGCTCCGACGTTCGCAGCTCTGCATGCAGTACAGCATTTGAAGAAACTGATGGAGTGAAGCCGTGAATGTCGAAGCGCAAAGTGGAGGGACAGCTGTATAAAGAATGCTACTTCGTGGAAATTCATTTATCCTGGTGGAGCCTGGAACTGATCAACCACAATAAACGAGGGCTGACTGTATCACAACAGCCCAAACCAGAAAAGACCCGTGTCCATTATTGATGAGTGAATAAACACAAGGTGGTCAGTCCACACACTGGACTATTACTCAGCTGTGGAAAGGAGTTAAGACTCCTTTTCATCTACAATGTAGATGAACTTCAAAAAACAAGGTGCTGCTGTGCTGACGAGCAGCCAGTGCGCTGGCCGAGGCCTGTCCACTCCGACGGCTTCCAAACAGTCTCAGCACCACTGGCGCTTCTGGGACTTGTTCCATTCAGTCTGGGACTCCGGAGGCTTCCTGGGACTGAGAATTACCGCGGCAACACTTCACCCCTCGTCAGCCCGATCCCTTCGAATGCCCCTGACCCAGCAGGTGTCAGAGCTCCTCCCTCACCCTCTGTGGCTCTTCACCTGTGCCTCTCCCCCCACCTCAAAACCAAGATGCACACCTCCTTCTGAGGACAGCAATCGCAGTGACACTGTCGGTGGTGGCAGTCAGTGTGGCTGCGCGCTGGCGGCACTGCTGGACTGAGCAGGCCTGGTGCCTCTCGGAGGAGCCCGAGCTGGCCGCACGGCCACACCGGGCAGGCTCACAGCGGGCAGGCTCACAGCGGGCAGGGCCACAGCGGGCAGGGCCACAGCGGGCAGGCTCACACCCGGCAGGGCCACACCGGGCAGGCTCACACCGGGCAGGGCCACACCGGGCAGGCTCACACTGGGCAGGGCCACACCGGGCAGGGCCACACCGGGCAGGCTCACAGCAGGCAGGGCCACACCGGGCAGGGCCACACCGGGCAGGCTCACACTGGGCAGGGCCACAGCGGGCAGGCTCACAGCGGGCAGGGCCACACCGGGCAGGGCCACACTGGGCAGGCTCACACCGGGCAGGGCCACACCGGGCAGGCTCACACCGGGCAGGGCCACACCGGGCAGGCTCACACCGGGCAGGGCCACTGGGCAGGCTCACAGCGGGCAGGGCCACACTGGGCAGGGCCACACCGGGCAGGCTCACACCGGGCAGGG